CCCAACCCCCATAAAAAGGCCTGATAAAGGCCTGATACTCAAGTTACACCTGTAGTGAATTTTCGTTCCCTCGAACCAGCCCGATCGATCTCGAAGTGGAAGCAAAGAGACTGGAACTGATCATGGAATCAAGGATGTGATGGCGGCTGATTTGAGAAACAAACAGCATCAGAACCCACGTGTACACGGCAGATGTTTACTGGTGTGATTCATTTAAGTGCAAGGAATGAATCCTAGACGCGAACAAAGGAACAAACAGGTATAGTTCGACGCTAAATTATTTGCTACTCTTTTCCTCGTTCTTACAATAAACCTACTTTCAGAAGGCAAACACCCAGGCGGGTGAAAACATGAAAAACAGTGCTAATTGGTGATTTTGGAATGATCAATAAAAAAAACTTTTTAAAAAAAACTCCAAAAACAAACGTGAACAATAGAGATGAAAACAGAAAAAAAGCGGAAGAGGAATTGACAATTAACTTCTCAATAAATACCACAATTTTGACTTCTCATTTAAGGTCGTAAACATTACATTTTTTAATGTCAGTACGTACGAAGTGACAGCCCTTTTTGTTTGGCCAGTTCATCAATAATTTTTTTTCCTGAATACTATTAAAACGATAATTAACAAAAGGTTTAGGCGAGGAAGGTTAAGACTCCAGCTTTGCTCTCGAGACATCTCTACGCCAAAATTTAAATTAATGGGTTTGTCAGTTCATCAACAATAGGTCAAGCATATCCTACTCCTGATTGAATTGGCCCCTCTTATTTAGATTGTGGGTCACTTAAACTACAGGATAAAACACCAACAAGCAGATAGCATAATTGTCTAGTTTTACCCTTTACTTTCATGTCAATGAATGGGTAGCCATGTACTTAATGTATAGCATCTTGCTGTCTTGAAAAGAGATAAACAAAACACTTTCAACAACAGCATCTGCCAATAAGGTCTGAATATGGCATGAAGAAAATGCCTGCCTATCCAAACAATATCCTTGGTATAAATCTAATGCCAATGAAATCTGAAAGAAGCACTTCACCCTTGTCATTCACAGATTATTTGTTTTGCTGCAAAATTATTTGCTAAAATCAATTAAACCTGGAATTCTAACTATTCGAATTTGAAGTTTCAGGAAAATTATCCAACCCTTAATGCCTTGGAGTACCATAAGTCTGTATAAGTGCCAGACAAGTGCTAGTTTTATATCTATTATAAGAAAGAGGGCATGACTTACGTAGTTGCAAATCCTAATTATTTTTGTCCAATTTTATTCAGATAAGGCCATCATTTGTAACATAAATATCTTTGCACAAACAGCATCATAACCCAAATGTTAAAATACAAGGTTATTTATGTTCCAGTTGGCCGCAAATTCTTAAAGTTGAGCTCAGCAATTGTGCAGTAATTTGATATGTTTGCATAGAATAGTAATCCATGTTTGAAACTCATAACAAACATTCTTCTCTCTGACTTATTATTTAAATAGAGGACTATCAAGGAGGGTTTGAAAACTTTCACAGATCTGAAGGAGATGGGTTAATTAAGGGTGTACTTAAAGCTCTTGAATTTGCAGAGTAACAGTTCTTGTATGTTATTTGCTTTTCCTTAGCCTACATGTAGAGTGATAATGACCTCTCTTCTCCTTATGTATGAGAAGTAATACTATGCTTATCTTCTTTCAAGGCTGTTGTCATTTTTTTAATCTTTAGAATTGAAAGGTGGTTGAATTGTATTGAAGCAGGTACATTTAAAAATCGTATGTTTTTTATCAGACAGTCTTGTGGTGTACATATCTTAGTATAGTGAAGTGTCGTTTCTTAAATGAAAGTGAAAGTGAATGATTCGCTACCTTAATAGCAGTATAGGCTGAATTGCTAAGGTCTACAGTGTTACTAGGGTTGAGATCAGACGTCAGCATTATCAGGCACCTCTGGCAGCCGCTTTAGTCCATGTAACGACCTCACCTTTTCCCCCCACACATCCCACCCCAGGGGAGGACATCCATCACACACTGAGTAATCTCGTGCGTGGGAAATTAACGTCTCCTACCCCTAACCCTGCAGGAGACGGGACCTCCATTTATTTGTCCTTATCTGAGAAGACTAGAATATCTATCCATTTCATTGATGTTATAGAAAGGTAGCAGATTCTCCTCAGTTATTTTAAGACCATGAGTATTGGTCCAGCAGGGGCTCGAACCCTCGACCTCCCGCCAACACAATCCGGCGCTCTAACTTAAAGGAATGTTATCTATCCTCTAATTCTAGAATATTGATTTAAGATAAACAGAAATTCCTTTTATCACATTATCCAAAGTAATTTTTTGTTTTGACAGCTGGTTTCAAGCCAAAGGTTGACAATTTTATAGCTTGGGTTCAGGCAGAGAGCTAAATTAAGTTAAGGAGATAATCCTGTCCAAGAAGCCTGAAAAGAAAATCTCACGCTCATAAATTTAGTCCACCCATTTCCAATGTACAATGCAGTTAATTATCGTAGACTTGTCGAAGCTGCAGTCACTCTGTACACACACATAAATGTTACTGCATCAGATAAACAACTCATTTGCAGAGAGTTGTTATGTACCAGGTGCACGTTTGGGCCATTGTTAAATAATCGGTTAATGTTGAAAGAGTCTCAAACGCACTTGCAAATGTATTTAGACGTAACTGCCATTTCGAACTGTAATTGTCATGAAGTCGTATTTAGTCATTTTAAGAAGAAAAACAAGTGAGCTTGCGCTCGATAACAAAAATAATGCGGGGGGAAGGCAATAAAAGAAACTGCGAAAGACATATCGACGAAAGGAAAGTCTCAGACTGCCAGACAGTCTGTTCACTTAGAAAACAACAACAAGCACAATTGACCTAGCTGATAGCGATCTGCTTAACGTACCGTATTCACTCGTGCTCGAATTGCTCAGAAAAACTCAAACTAACTGTAGCCAGGATTCGTCCCAGTTCCTTCTATGACGGCATGATTGCTTACTCTATATTAGAGGAATGAATCCTCTGACGACATTTTCAGACATTTTCAGACATTTTCACACTGGCTGGCAAGATGGTGGATGGTGAGCGGGCTCATGAAAAAATAGCACCTAACCCATCCTTCCACATTCATTATACATTAGTTATTGATGAAAATTGATCGAGGATTCAAAGGCAGAAGCTGAAATATTTCCCTTGCCGTAATGCATAGGGTATGGCCGTCCTGAACTTCGTCGTTTTAAAAATTCAAACATGTA